ATGATTAAAATAACAGAAATTTTGTTGTGCGCTGACATCGAAGCTATGTTAGTAGGAACTGGAACGAGAATTTAATCATGTACAAAAGACGAGCAACATCAGATAAAATACATAGGGATCTATGAAGATCATACGCTTCAAGATTTGCCATGGGATTCGGTGATTCTTGACAAAAGTTCTTCAGCAGATTCTATAATCGCACCAAGTTATCAGGCCAATGTAAAATAACAGCAAATGAAATTGCCAATATAAATTAATAAGACAATATAAAATAGTAGGAAATAAATTGTAAAATGAATTTATTAAAACATTTCAACAAATGTCTCACAATGTTATCAGATAGGCTGTAGGCATGAACATAAAAATTCAGAGCATACAGAAGTGTCAAGATTCTTTTAAATCAAGCAATAACACGGCCAAACGGTATATTGATCATCCCAATGGACAGTAAACCGTAGGTAGGGCTAATATCTGTCCAATTAGTATATTTCCATCTTCATAGCACATTGTATAAAACAAACGATCAGACAAAGGGAAAACCCTACATTATCAGATAAACTATACTTCAAAACACTGCTGAAATACAAAAAAATCTCGACAGATTTTCAGGTTCAATAGACGTTGTGAAGACTAAAACTTAGTTCCTTGCGACACTTTGTTGAGAGTAGCCTGAGTGTTTCTGTGACCATCAACTTCAGCTGTCTGCGAAAGCAAAAAGTCTGTGGTGTGTGACGTCTGTTCTATTCGCAGCTTTTCAGCACTGTTGCTAAAAAGCACCGGTTACTACATCTTAGAAGGACATATTCCTCTCCAAATGTAGATCTTTTTCAACCTTGTTCCTTGAGCTTGCATGCTGAGCCCCATTTCGACGTTTGCCATGTTTCGGCTTCCACAGGGGAAGCTCACGGGCCAAATTAAATGGTATACGCTCAACCACGTTGTCAAGCAAGGCTGATCTCCTTTTGTTCATCTCACTGTCTACGGGGGAAACCCGTGTTCAGAATGATATATATTCGTTCGTTTGTGGTCCAACCACTTAACAATCATTATGAAGCCATCGTTATTGCAAGCAGTACCACTGTCGTTCTTGCTCCGTCGTTAGGTCAACTTTCGTTACGCCATGCAATAACACTGACCCGACAGGCGGATTTTTGTGGAGATGAAAACTGTTCTCAGCCTGAACATTTGACAAATTAACAGAAAGCCCTGTGTAATAAACTGCGAGAAGTACGTTTAAAATTACGAGCAACAATTTAAGCGTTGATCAATAATAGTGATATACTGCCCGTCAATGAAAATTTCCTGAAAAACTACCTTTTAGCCGCTGTAAAGAAGTCCTCAACGTAGAAGAAACGTTAATAACTTTGGAAGCGTATTCCTCTGAATTGAAGTCGTCGGATTCGGTAGTTTCCAGGAGATTCTGATACTCTGCACAAAAAGCAGGGAATTTCTAAAACAAAGAGTAAAATCAGTGATGACACTGGCATAAATTTCGCATTATTTAGTAACTAGTGCCACCTCGGGCATAAGAAAAAGCTTCTGCTGTTTACACGATAGCGCATAAGAAGTACCATCTGAAAAAAATCGTTCATGATGAGCGCCAGGCTTTTCTAGTGAAACGCATCTGACACAGCATTAATGCCTCCACGCCACTAGGAGCAAGAAGACGGCGCAGTAGGCTGTGAAATCTGATTTTGGATAAGTCATTCAACAATTTACAATATTACATACTACTCAGCTGTTGTTGGAAAAAGCTTCCGGTATGAACTTAGTTGTCATGGTTTCTTAAATTATGAGAGCGCTATGATGACGACAAAACATTTCAAGTACATTTTGAATGTACTGATTTCAGTCCTCACTGAGCCCGATGTAGTGGCAATATGGCTATTGCCTTTAGTAGCTGTTTAAGGCATCTGTGCCAAGAGTGAGTAATGATAAGGGTAAAGAGAGCTTAGAAAGAAATGAGTACGTGACTCACCAGCATCAACTGCCGATGTTCGGAAATAAGCTTTTCTTCGTGTTCTCTCTGTAACATTAAATTAAAACTGTGAAGCTCGTTAACCATATCTTCGTCCTGCAAAAAAGCATAAATGTAACAGTAAATTCAATCTAGTGTTATATGTTTACATATTGTTCCTCGTCTTCCTGCAAGGGAACCTCATCTAGGTCGCCATCCAGGTCTTCTGTGGAAAATTCCTTCATTCTGAAATAATAAAACACATAATCCAATCCGAAGGTAATGCATGACCAAAAAACATCCAAACAGCTCATTTGAAGCCATGAATTAAAAACCCAATTAAAACTAAAGTACTCAGTCCTTAACACCCAAAATAAGCAACTTTTAGCTATCTGGCAAGCAAGGAGAGTAAAAAATGTTGTTAGTGAAAAGACTACATGAATACTTACACCCCGAGGTAGCGTTTCCATGCGTAGTTCGATGCGAATAAAATGCAGGAGATTTATCCCGAAGACAAGGCAACGAATAACGTACTAAAGCATACAAAAGCATATGCCACCAAATGTATTCGTGTATATATAAATCTTAAATTTAAAAGAAATTCTGAATTGGACAGGTTTTATTGTAGTTGTTATAATTCATCAACTACCGCATTTTCCCATAAACAACGCTCACCTTGTAGTTTTCTGTGCTCATTAAAATGCATAGATACCGTGCACCTTGCAATATCTAATGCTCGTAAAATGTTAAGATAGCGTGTGGTCCATTTCCTGTTTGAAAAAGGCAGTTTTTGGGCAAATGAATAATGGAATAATATGACTGGCTGTATCTAAAACAGACGAATAGAAAAATTAACAAGAGTCAGTATAGTGATTCTGGTCTTTAAGCACGTGTATTCTGCAAATGTTTAGTTTCTTAACTGAAAGTTGCTCCTGAGAAAATTATCCATGAAGAAACATTATACAGCGATGTTTACGCTGGAAGCCATTAATTTCGCGAAAATAAAAGGGAATCGAGAGGTAGCCAGGTTATTTTATGTTTCATGTTTTAGTTTTATATTATTTAGTTATGTTAACCCTATATTCATTGATATTGCAACATGTACATGGTTTCCGACTAATTTATTTTTTTTCAATAAATGCAGTTTGAAACTACCGCGTACGTAGGTACTTTTAAATAATTTAGAATCTTTTCGTTTCTCATTACATAAAACGCAACGTTGTTTTTAAAGTTAACTGGACTTTTTTGTATAGTTAACGCGCGCATTATTGATGGGAAAATACGGTACTAAAGTTTTTAAGGACGATGTACGAACTCTGTCTAAGGGCAGACATCGCTAATCGAAGAAGAACAGATATAGGTCCTCTCGACAGTTAAGCAGAGGTCCTGACTGGACTAGTCTTTAAAAATTAGGCAAAAAGGAAGCGATCCATTATCCATGGTCTCGTTGAGAGGGGTGAAAGCACTTTAACGCATTTGTACAGTGCTGAATGAGAGGTGGTCAAGTATTAAATGCGTACAATTCCATTTTCAATTCCAGAACCTAATTGAGTGTAACATCGCTCCAAATGACAAACCCTATTCAACAGATCTGAAAGCGCGATAATTTCCTTCTACCTACTCGATGCGACAGCAACTGTTCTACAGCGAAAACTTTACGAAATAAAATCGTGGGAAGACATTTTGAAAGATCTCACCTGGAAAGATTCCGAATTTTGTATTTGGAGGCCTTGTAGAATCTATTGCACAGATATGCCTCTACAAAATTTTAAATCCCATATCGCTATCTCACAGCCCTACTATTTCCGTATTTATGGCCGGATGGCATAGTTGCTGAACAGGCAGCACTCAACATGAATCAGCTTTACCAGTCATGTTTATTTCTGAAACTCGCAAATTGCAAAGTAACAATAAATGCGATAATTAAAAAACTGAACACGAAGCCTCCTGAATCCTAAGTTTTCCTTTTTTAGAATAACAAACATAATAAACAATTACAGTAAAGTAAAGAAATACGCTAGTTGTATGAAAATTAGGAAGAAACAGGAATTAAAATTACAACCGTACAAGAAAATGAAAAAAATTAAAGAAACAAGAATCTGAGGGAATTATTTAAGTAATCTCTCTAAGTAACTATAATTTCAGCAAAGTGAAGGCACTAATAGTTGATTTAATCATTAACACAGTGTGAACCATATGCTTCGAAATGAATGCGAATTGACGTACTAGTGAATCAGCCACTGAGGTACCCTAGTTGATAATTTTGCTTTGTCCGTTGTCGATGACATGCAACTTTTCCATGGCATGTCTTGCAACTGCAGTGATCTTCTTGCCCGCTGTCAAAAAATTGGTACATGCTTTTATGCTCATCTGTCACAATATTCTGTTACGTTGTTCGTGTCCACCGTCCAAGACACTATGTGTACGTAATCGACGGGAGACCTGTGGTGCAAGGTCAAATAGTGCAGTGGTCTAAGGTCAAATTTCATGTAGTGGGTTGTCATCTTATAATGTCTGCTAGAACCAAGGGAGACATATGACATGGTAGAGCAGCCATATTATTTCAAGTGAGCTGGTGCCTGTTTTTGAATCAAAGGCCGTCACTCTTGGATGGAAGAGAGCGGTTTTCCGACCGTTTGAACAATCGCAACCGCTTCCCAACCATAGGGTGTTTATGAACACCAGTCAGGGTTTTATAGTAATCTACTGACAGCCCATTTCAGTTCACGACAGACTTTCACAGCTACCGTAGCAGCTAAAGAGGAATAAAGACCAATGCATTTCTCTCTGCTGAGCAGTCTCTCATTCTGATCATTATGCGCTCCCCGTGATAAGGAGGAGAAAATCGATTTCAGTGAGCTACATGGCAGGGAGAATCGATTTAATTCTGACAGGAATCTATGTCAACCTCAACGCTGAAGTAAATCAAAGCCCTATGGCGGATCAAAACATGTCAAACAATGTTCGTTTAGCGACGGAACAACTAATTCTCGAACTTGATACCTCTCAGCGTAACGGAGAGTGTTCAACGTTTGTTCGCAGCAACTCATTCCCGGAGATATCATCGCAATCTGAAATGAAATTTTAGTAACGTTTATAAATGACCATATCCTTAATCAATGATCAGCTCTGACTTACCATACAGGTCTTGGCGTTGTTACCGATAAATGAATCCCGCAGGGCAAGTGTCAGCTTGCTGGCTCGAAACGGCAAATAGTTTTCGGTACCAAAGTTTCGAATGCATTCCTGAAAATCAAAGGCTCGGTGTGAGAAAAAACATACGCATTCATTCAGGTTCACTGGGCATAAATACTTTTAAGACCAGCAAGCTCCGGTTGATCTCTGCACTTTCCATGTGCATCTGTTTGTTCATCGATAATGTGTCGGCACCCTTTTCGTTGCCGGCCAAGTCGATTAGAGAAAATTTACCATGCAGCTTAGCTGCAGACCTAAACAAAGTATCAAGTTTGAATATATTTAACTTAAACTATGTACACGGAAAATGTGACATATGATTGAAGGACAGTTACAAAATAACGACCGGGAAAACTCAGATACAGATAAAATACAATGAAACCAACTGAAGACCACACATAAAACCCATCTGCACTGAATTTGCAATACCCTTGGCTCATTGACAGATTGAGCACTAAAATGAGGCGAGCCCGCAGGACCACCTGAAGCATAACTCGTCTGTGACTTTCCATAATAAAATCAAACTGTTTATTTCAAGACATACAAAATATCGTTTATTCACGATATCACAAGAATGCCTTCTTAGACATCTAACAAAGCGACTGAAAGCTAAAGGAGGGAGGCTATGACGATGGTAGAATTGCACATATTCAGCCCTCTCGTCTACACGTCTGAATCGGGCCCATATTCATGCCAATCTCAAAATATAATAAACGTCGCTGAATGTGCTTTATACATCGAGGTTTCCGTTAGCAGCGTTAATCCTGCCCATGTGACTTTTGTTTTGTTGCCGTTATTCGACGTTTTCGATCCCCACTGTTTTTCAGTAGTTTATCTATCGACGACGATACGAAAAGGTCAACAAAACCAACGTCAGGGTCTTTCTTGCCCCCTCCATCGCCCAGGATTGTCGAATTGTACCCAACCGTGAAAGAACATAACTGGTGAATGAGCGATGGGCCGAATTAAATAGGCATTCATCATCTAGTCCAAAAATTCTGCAGGGGCCAAGTATAACGAATAAGATCTCAGTTACGTCTGAGTTGTTAATGCCTCGTTGATTCGGTTCGTCACTCGAGTACACCGAGACGTCGGTGAATTCA